TTTTATTCGAGTTTTACCATATTTTATTCGAGTTTTATTGTGTCTAAAACTATGTTCCTGGAGCCTTATTTCCACTACTGCTATCTTGGAATGATGTTTTTCAATTTTCACTAGACTTTGCATTTCTACACTGCTGTCTGAGACCTTTACTTTCTAAAGCACTTAAAATTAAAATTATTCTTCCTTGGCTTGCTGATTCTAAACCTTAAACTTGGCCCTCTGTTTTCTGTGTGAGTGGTTTAACATCCCCCAGTCCCCCCAAAGGCTTTCATTCCATCCCTGAATTCAGGGATATTTTTGGTTTACAGACCCCAACTTTTGGTTTTGGACCCCAACACCAGTGATGGCAGAGCAGGGCTCAGGTTTGGGGTTTGGGGCTCAGGTTTGGTGTTTAGGGCTCAGGTTTGGGTTTTGGGGCTCAGGTTTGGGGTTTGGGGCTCAGCTTTGGTGTTTAGGGCTCAGGTTTGGGGTTTAGGGCTCAGGTTTGGGGTTTGGGGCTCAGGTTTGGGGTTTAGGGCTCAGGTTTGGTGTTTAGGGCTCAGGTTTGGGTTTTGGGGCTCAGGTTTGGTGTTTAGGGCTCAGGTTTGGGGTTTAGGGCTCAGATTTGGGGTTCAGGGCTCAGGTTTGGGGTTTAGGGCTCAGATTTGGTGTTTAGGGCTCAGGTTTGGGGTTTAGGGCTCAGGTTTGGGGTTCAGGGCTCAGGTTTGGTGTTTAGGGCTCAGGTTTGGGGTTTGGGGCTCAGGTTTGGGTTTTGGGGCTCAGATTTGGGGTTTGTGCTTTTTCCAGACACTCAAAGTTGTTTTTTCTCCTCCCTCTCTCCTCTCCAGTCCTACTGCTCTGACCCCGGCCTGGTGCTGGACCTGAAGAATCTCATCGTGCTCTTTGCTGACACTCTGCAGGTACAGGGGGCTCCAGCTGCTCCAGCTGCTCCAGCTGCTCCAGCTGTTCCAGCTGTGCTCCCCTGCCCCAGCTGGGCTGGCCAGGCTCCTCCTGTGACATTCCTGGCCCTGGGCACAGCCCGGGTTGCCCCGAGCCTTGGCCAGCTGTCCCAGCCCTGGGTTTTGTGCAGCTCCGGGGGGGTCTCTCTCCCTTTTGGGGGGGTTCAGTCACCCCCTGAGCCCCCCCAGCTGCAGCAGGGGCGGTGCCAGAGGGGGACCCTGGCCCTGTGAGACACGGGGGGGGACAGTGCCCAGGGCTCGGGGGTGGCTTCAGTCCCTGCCCTCCTCTCTGCAGGGCTACGGCTTCCCCGTGAACCAGCTCTTCGAGATGCTGCTGGAGATCCAGGAGCAGTACAGCGAGACCCTGCTGAAGAAATGGGCAGGGGTCTTCAGGTCAGAGGCTCCCC